TCTGTTATAAATCAAATATTTTTTTATATTTCCAATTGTGTAATATTATCATAATTAATCTGTGTATATATTCGACCATATGTAAAATATTTTTTATTCATAATATTATAGACGTGTGTTCATAAATTTGTGAACTTTGTATGGATTTAAAATTTGTGCATAACACAATAATTTGCCACCACCTTATTGAATGGATTAGTCATTTTCCAGTTTCTGTGTGTGGTATGTATTTATTGCATTTTTTCTTTATTTATGTGAAATGAATGATTTAATGAAATAAAAATTTAAACAAATTTGTAAAGATTTGGGGATTGGGGACCAATTGTTAGATTATGACGTATGTCGAGATGTCTATCATTATTTGTCTATAAAATATCATTGTTGACCAATTCAAATGGAGAAGATCAATAGACATACACTAGCTGTTCAACCAAAATTTACTGAGTTGCCCACATGAATTAAACCTTCATATTCCAAAATGTGATGATTGGATAAATCATTTTGACTAAGAGTTGAAGATGCTAAAGAGGGCAATGGCTAAGAAGGAACTTTTTTTTTTTTTTTTTGAAAAAAGAAGAAGCAATAAAACATTACCGAATGTTGACGTGACAGTTACTGAATTTAAAAGAAGCACTAAAATGACCTGTTGACTTGATAATATGCTGACGTGATGGTTACCGAATTTAAAATTATTTTTAAAATTTTTATTTTAATAAATTTAAATTAAAAAATTACTTTAAAAAAAAAAACCCACCGGGTCGCCGGAGAAGGCAACACTATGTCGCCTTCTCCAGGTGAGAAGGCGAACAGGGGTGGGGGGTCGGTTTCTAATTTTTTAAATAATTATTTTATTTAAATTTATTAAATTAAAAAAAAAATTAAATGTAATAACCGCCACTTCAACTCGTCATTTTAGGTTAAAATGCATTATTTTACATTGTTCGAGAACCTAATTGTAATTTTCTTTGAATTCGATGATCCAATTGCAGTTTACTGTGTAATTAGTTAGTTTATTTGACCCTTATTCATATTTAAAAAAAAAATGAATTGCTTTTTATTTATTTAGACTTGTGTGAAAATGGGCACTTCGAAAGATGCATAGGGAGAGAAATATTTGCGCAAATCAATTGGTTTCATGAGGTTACAATCATAGCAAGGTTGTGAGCAATTTTAATTGAATTGTTCGAGCAATACAAATCGACTTAGTAACCAATAAAATTTTAAATTTGACTTTCGCTATCTCATGAATCGATTTTCGTGGACCCTTTTAACACAATCATGTGTTGAATCTTCACTTAGGAGAGACATGAGATTCAACTTCAAGTGAAACATTTCATGATCTCCCACATATGTAGGTGTTTGTAATAATTTTTGTATGCATTCATTTGTGTCTATTTGGGATGACAACAATGGAGATCACATTAATATATATATTTATGCCTCCCAACTCCTTATCCCTAGTAACGGCAATGAATCAAGCCAAATATGTATTTCTATGTCCCCCTGCCACTGTCCACCAATCTTAAAAACTCGAATTGTAGATAATATAAATCAATAGTTAATACCATTTGAAGTCCTCTGAGTATATTGATTTTGTCATATTTAATCTTAAATTTTCAAATTGACCACATGTGATCCTTTCACTTTCAATTTTTTACTATCTGTGATCTAAGGGGGTGTATTCAATCATGACTTTCATAGAGTTTTAAAGACTTTTATGAACTTTAAAAGTTTGGAGGTATTCAATTCAAACTTTTAGAGTGTCTTTAAAAGTTAGGCGGTATTCAATCAAGATTTTTATAGAGTCTTTAAAAGTCGTGTGGTATTCGATTAAGACTTTTAAAGAGTCTTTAAAAGTCATGTGGTATTCAAAAAGTTATGAACTTTTGTATACTTTTTAATTTTAAGACTTTTGTAGACTTTTCCTTCTCAAATATAAATAGTTGAAATCCAACCATCAACCCCAAGATTTCAAATTTTCTTTCTAACAACTTTGAATGTTTTCTCTCTCTATTTAAACTCTATTCCCCCCCCCCCCCCCCGCCATTTAAACTCTATAAACCTATCTAAATTCAATAAAATTATTTTTTCTTCATTATCCTATATATTTTCGTCATACCTAAACTCTACCAATTTTTTCTCTCTCCTAAACTTTAGAATCTTCATCTAAAAATTCGAAATAATATTATTTTTACTTCATTATTGCTTGTTTATATTGGTTTTTATTTTTTTTTCTATGAATTTTTTATCCCTAACTATCTCTAATTCTCCCTAAATACATGAACAAAGCAAATTTTTCATGGTCAAATATATGTTTCATAATATTCATATAAATACTTATATATTTTTTGATTTTTATTATTTTTATGTTTATATTAGTAATATATATTTTTCTTTTTTCTTTTTAACATCACGTTACTACGTATAGCGAATTAATGTTTTGTAAGAAAATTGTAAATGATAAGAACCAAAATCATTGAAAGTTTGTAGGGATGTATTCAATTTAGAATTTCAATGACTTTTGTAGACTTTTTAAAATAAAAAGTTGATAAAAGTCTATGAATGTTTTTTATATAGACTTTTAGAGTCTTATAAAGTTTTAAAAAGTTTTGAACGACTCTATGAAAGTCAATCAAAGTTTATTAAAATCTATCATTTTAAAAGTCTTTAAAACTCTACAAAAGTCATGATTGAATACACCCCCCTAAGTTAACCACCCATGGTCCTTCAACTATGAAATTTTAATCACCCATGGTTCTTATAGGAGGATCGCGACTGGTTAAATTTTGAAAGTTGAATGATCATAGGTGGTTAACTTGGACCACAGATGGTAACAATTTAAAAGTCGAAGGACCATCTCAAGTCCTCTGAGTATAGTGGTTTTATCACGTTTAGTCCTAAATTTTTCAATTGACCACATGTGATCTTTTGACTTTCAATTTTTTACCATATGTTATCTAAGTTAACCACCCATGGTCCTTCAACTATCAAATTTTAATCATCCATGGCCCTTATAGGAGGATCGCGACTGATTAAATTTCAAAAGTTGAAGGACCATATATAGATGATTAACTTAGACCATAGATGGTAACAATTTAAAAGTGAAAGGACCACGAGTGGTCAATTTGAAAGTTTAGGATCATGGTTCACACAATAATTTGCCATTCTCAGAGTGTATATACAAGTTACAACATTGAATGTTCTCAACCAAATTAAACTAAATTCCTAAAACCGCTTATTGATTACATTTGGACCATTTCTCGATTTGTGCGTGTCATCCTTGCGCAGGGGCCATGCTAATCTTCTATGTATCGTTCCAATTTTATCGGATGTCCCCGAAGGGACGCTTATTGATTACATTTGATTATAACGGTAACAAATTACCCAAATTATTATTTTCCATAAACAGAAAACCATGTCACAAAACCACGACTTAACCGTGTCGATGATGATACAACAAGTATTCAGATATCCGGCGATATATATAATAGATTTTGGTATTCCTAAAGGTATAATCGAATAATAAATTACAATGATGCCCTCTTAGTAAGTATGTGGTCAGCATTTGAGTGTGGGGCATTTGGGAGTGTATGAAGTTGTGAGAAGAGTCAAAAGTCTCCTCCACTAACTATTAATACGCCTTTTAAAGGCAACACGGGCAAACACGTTGGGCTACCAACATATCTTACACATGTTGGATGTTGGTTGGGCGGTCATAACTGCTATGCCAATTCAAGTAGTGTTTAGTGAGGGTTGAATGAGATGTGGTGGAATATGACTAATCGTTCCACCTGAGAAGTACCTTTGAGGTAGTTAAGATTGAATGACCGGTTAAGCTAATAGTGATGGCGTTCACACCAGCAACACAACACGAGGAACCTTAGTAATATCTGTTTGGAGGCTCAAGAATCTTTTCCCTAGATTATATTAAATGTATTTTCATTTTTCATGTGTTTTTTACAATTCCTAGAATTGTAACGTTACGTTGCTTTGTTTTATGCCTATGCCATTTTGTAACCAGAAGGTGAGACTTGAAAATTGAACTCTTTGTTTAGTTACTGCGTTCGGCATCAGTTGGTATTCAGAGCCATTAAGTTCCTAGGCAACAAACGAGATAGAGGTACATCCCTCTCAAATTGTTACGACCCAAAATGGTTCGAGATGGCAATACCAGTGGTGGTAGCAATCAACCCATAGGCGATGACCGTGGGGTAGAAGCCCTTTGGGCAGCATTTTGAGCACACGAGGATAACTCAAACCGCGAGTTCCGAGAACTTCGTGGTATTCTTGAAGCTATACGTTTGGGAATGAATGGTGGTGGGATAAATCCGGTTGCCAATCCCAGACAAAACCAACCTGTGGAAGGATCTATTCCGAGGCAAGCACAACACCCACCCCGGCGCTATAACTTTCAGGAGCAAATGGATGATAGTGATGACGAAGATACTACAAGCCACAATTATCCTGTACAACGACGAGAATATTACAGATCCAAGATTGACTAATCGTTCCTCCCGAGAAGTACCTTTGAGGTAGTTAAGACTGAATGACAGGTTAAGTTAATAGGCTTCCCGGTGCATTGAGATCAGATTGGGAATTTCAGTCAGAAGGTAAGTTTATTGATGTCATATAGATATACCTGGTCATACTAGTATATTCCCTATCAAATGACTACTTCCTCTCATTTTATACAATTGCTGCGCTTGTGTTCATTTTTCTTGTATCCATTTTTATACAATTGCTGCGCTTGTGTTCATTTTTCTTGTATCCATTAAAATCAAGCACATAAAATAAAATAAAACACAAGATCAGATCATTCTTAGTACTTCTATAAATACTTCAATACTTTCAAGAAACCTTCAATCACAATAACAAAACAACACCAAACAATCTTCCAAATCATGCACGCATGCATGTAGGCACAAGTTCCAAACACTACCCCACCCCCCACCCCCCAATGCAGCTAACAGACACAATAATTAACGTTGTTCCCACTCCTAGTGAGCTAATTAAGGTTAGGCTGCAGTGTGGTCGTCTGTTTTGGTGGGTGCTGGGTATTTGAGAGCATTGAGTTGAACCTTCCTGAGAGCAGCTTTGCCAAGATCAATCCCACACACATCAGAGAGTCTCACCAGATAAAGCAAAACATCTGAGAGCTCTTCTCCCAGGTGCAACTTTTCTGCTTCATCCCAATCTGGAAGACCCTTTGCCACCTCTCCTTTCCACTGGAATATTTCAGACAGTTCTCCAACTTCCCCTACCTGTCATGTCAATTCAGTTTTAGTCATAATGTGTATATGGGATTATGGGATAATAAAGATTCGTTAAGATAAAACATCACGAGATGTGATTTAGTGGTCGTGAAAAGTATACATCTGACGGATTGAGAAAAGCACATCTCAGGTTGTGACTCAACAACGACCGAGAGAATTGAACCGCATCTCGAGTTGTGACTCAGTGGCCTAGAGTACATCACAAAATGTAACTTAGAGTCCAGTACATCGTGAGACGTGACTTAACAGCACACCGATTTTTATAGCGGGACAAATTCAGACTGTAACTCTTAACAAAGTAGATATTATTAACCCTAATTTAATTAATAAACCAATTGATTTATGCCTCGGTAACCATTTCCATCTCACACCAATATATACATACATAATGAAAAAAGTAAGGGGAGTACCATAGCAAGAAGAAGGTTTCTAGGGATGTGGTACTTTTCCCAGTTTCTTTCTTTAGCAAAATCCTCCATTTTCTTCTTGAGAAGCTCAAGGCTCACCTCCTCCATGCCCTCTTTTCAAACACAAGAAAATTGCAGACAAGATTGGAAGAGGGAGAAGATCTGTGTTGGACAAGATTGGAAGAGTTGGCATGTATTTATAGTTGGAATACGAGGAAAACTGGGTAGCTGTATTGGTGGCCTCAATAGTCAAAATTGTAATCTAATAAATATTTTACCATTCAAGGCTTTATTGCTAGCTGTATTTAAATTTTATTTATGATCAATTAATTAATACTATAGATTTTTTTCCAAAAATAAAAAATTATTTCCGTAAAGAACAATAATTTGAGATCGAGTCTCACCAGCCGCATTGTGTGAGAAACCTCTCAAAGTGAGAGGGCTCTTAGTGCGCAGTAAACAAAGGTTTAACCTCTGTGTTACGCTCTGTCGGGCCGGGGCGTAGAAAACCTTTAAGATTGAGGATTTAACCTTTTAGAAAAATAAAACAATTGTTAGATTATGACGTATGTCGAGATGTCTACCATTATTCGTTTATAAAATATCGTTGTTGACCAATTTAAATCGAGAAGACCAATAAACACTACCTGTTTAACCAATTTTAATTTACTGAGTTGCCCACATGAATTGAACCTTCATATTCCAAACTGTGATGATTGGATAAATCATTTTGACTAAGAGTTGACGATTCTAAAGAGGGCAATGGCTAAGAAAGAATTTTTATTTTTTTATTTTTTTATTTTTTATTTTTTTGGAAAAAAGACAAAGCAATAAAATGTTAATATATATAATTAACAGGATAAATATTCTTGGTGTCTGTAGTTTTGTGTTGTTCGATCAGATAATAATATTTTGGAATAAATTATTTTATTTTTAATGGATTAAAATAAGAACATTTTTGTGTGTGATTACATATTTACATAATTTAGGTAGCACCTAATTAACAATGCATTCATTTCACTTTTGTCTCTCAACTTTTCAGATGGATTTTATGGAGAGAATGATGAATTCCGGTGAACGTGTGGAGTTGAGGACATAAACTAAATTTGATTAATTTGAACAAATTGGCAAAATATTATAATCAAGAAATGTTTAGATTTAATTAATTTAAGGGTGTGTCATCGCTCTTACCTTAAAAGAGAGTAATAAAGGAGATAAATTGTGAAATATATCTCAATAGATTTATATGCCCCAAATACTTGTATACTGATGCTCACAATAAGGTCAAAATAATTGTTGATATATGCCCCAAACTAGGAATGGCAACGGGATGAGGCAGGGACGGGGAGTATACACTCCATCTCCATCCCTGTCCTCGGCGAGGAATTGAAAATAGTCTCCATTCCCGTCCCCGTGAAAAATTAGGGAACGGAAATTTTCGGTCCCCGTTAACTCTTAGTCAAAATCTTAAATTAATGTAATTTTTAATTTTAAAAATTATATATATATATATATATATATATATATATATATATATATATATATATATATATATATATTCTGGAATGGGACAGAGCGAGGAGAGGTATCCCCGTCCAACCGTCCCCGCCCCATTCTTCAAAAATTTTCTCATTTGCGTTCATGTCTGAGCAGCGAGGATCGGGGATCCCCGTCGAGAATGGGACAAATTGCCATCCCCACCCCGAACTTACAAACCTATTTTATAATTATAGTGTCCTTGTATTTCAATTTTTGTGTGTGTGTGTGTATATATGGTAGTAATTAAATTCATGCATGTGTAGAGCCGTTTTTTACACGACAACTACTTTATAGTACGTTTTGTTCGAAGATTCTGAGAATTTGCTACTGTTTGACTATAAACACGGATCAAATTAATTCCTTCTTTCGGCGATCCATTTATTCAACTTTTTGTTGATAATTTAGTTTGTGAATTTATGATCTTGATAAATGACATGACCGGTCCTTCCATACTTTTTTGTCGTTTTTCTGTGCTTCGTTTTATTCTTTTTAGTGGTGAGATTAATCGGTCGGTAATTATTAGTTAATCATGTACATTGAATAAATCTTATTTCTATATAATAACTTACAAACTACACATCAGAGATAAATCACCTTGTATAATAAGTTTAATCGAGAAAACGCGCGCGTTGACAAGAATCGAATTCTTGATATATATTCTAATACGGGAAGTCAAGAATTATGCTCCATCTACTTGCCCACCCCATTCAAGAGCCAATACACTTTCCCTAGTAGAGAACGAATACTATTTCTCGTTTAAGAGTGCACAACTCTATACCTAGTTTAACATTTATCTTGAGAGTTAATGTTTTAATACTTAATTTTAGCGGTTTTTTTTTTTTTTTAAAAGTTTATTAGTCCTAACAAACAATTTTGTCATATATTTTAATCATAACTTTCATGGTTTTATCAAATGTAATCATTTGTCATATAATCTATCTCTCTACTGTTAATTCTATAGGTAGATAGGTAGATATGTATATTTCAAATTTCATATCATATATTCGACAGAGAACCATCATCAACTCCATTCAATAATAGCTATGATCAGATCAAAATCGAAATCTGAATGCATTAATGATTGTAATTGCTGAAATTCATGCAGTTGTGAACTTAACCAAATTCAGAGGCCGGGTATTCGCTAAGAACTAATGCTTAGGGTTCAAATGGGGTTAGCAATCATTCCCACTCGTATTTATTAACTCTTTATCTTGGATATAACTTTAGGTTGGTTGACATGTAATAGCCTACAAATCATATAGGAGTGGTAAAGTGCATTAATTAGAAGACCTTATGCGTCGAGTTTGACTGAGAGAGTGTTGGCAAGCAAGAAACAATATATATTTTAATCCTTAAATGTGAAGAGTGACAACTGACAAAGACATATATGGGTAGGAATGTCAATTTTGGATGGGGGAAAATTCAAGGAACGAGGACAAAAGATGTAAAATATTTTCAATTTCTCGTCGGAAATGGAGATACCCTCCCCGCCCCGCTCCGCGCCAAAATTTTTTAATAATAATAATAATAATAATAATAAGAAGAAGAAGAAGAAGGCTCGATCGGGCAAGGCTGAGTGACGACCTAGTACAGTGGACTAAGGCTATGTTGTATTATGGGGAAGAAGACAATTACAAGTGAAGTAGGTTACAATATAGTGAATGTCACAAGTCATGTGATATTTACCGACCGGGTGATCCCACGGGTAATTCTTGTGCGTATTTACCCATCACATCCCTAGCGTAGTGTACAAGCATGGTAACTTGCAATTTACTTCCTGTAGTGCCTTTGGACAAGGGTTTTGGGAGTTTAAGATTAATTTAGCGTAAGCTAAGAAATTTATTGGAGAAAAAATATAAAAAAAATAAAAACGTTGTCCACACTTAACAATCGTTATGCCATGGTGAACACGGTCCCAACGGTGTTAGTGCACCGTTATCTTTTTTTTTTCCTTAATTAATCGCGTGACTTTTCTTCTTCATTTTCACATTTCGCGGTTTCACGCACTTTAATTTGAGGTGAGCAATGATTTCGGACATTCATAAATTATGAATCCTTGCCTGCACATTCACTTTGGAACCATGCTTACACATTCCCGTCCGAAACCATGGCTTCCTCTGTAGCGCAAGCTTCTTCAACATTCATAAATTATGAATTTTCTGTTATGAGATTACGAATTTTCTGTTATGAGATTATGAATTTACAGTAAATTCATAATCTCATAACAGAAAATTTATAATTTAATAAATGTTTTTCTTTTATGCGATTATGAATTTTCTGTTATGAGATTATGAATTTACAGTAAATTCATAATCTCATAACAGAAAATTCATAATTTAATAAATGTTTTTCTTTTATGCGATTATGAATTTTCTGTTATGAGATTATGAATTTACGCTACATTCATAATCTCATAACAGAAAATTCATAATCTGACCAAACGCGCGCCGTTAACACCACATTAGCAATTTTTTTTACATTTTTTTTTTTTTTTTACATAAAAACGGCACCGTTTAGACAAATGGTGAACACGTTTCCAGGGCATAATTTACCCACACTTTTGGGTTAGACATATAATTACTTCAATGATGTATGGTCAATGGAAAACTATGGGCCAATATCTGATGGTCCAAAAATGACAGCCTGAGTTTCAAATGTTGTTGGCAAGAACATCCTCTGATCTGCTCCAGTTTGGGTCAGATGACTTAAAACCTCCTCTCCAGTTTATACTAGCTGGCCCAATCATAAATGGAGCAATAGTTATGCTGAGAAACTGAATGCACCATGCGTATGGTGCATACGATGCAAAACGGTGTCGTTTTGACTAAAAACGCGCGTCCCATTTAAAAAAAAAAAATTCAAGTTCAATTCTCGACAGTAGCATTATTGTGGATATATAGTTATGAATTTGTGAATATATAGTTATGAATTTATGGATATTTAGTTCATTCATTGTTGATATTTAATTCATTCATTGTAGATATTTACTTCATTCATTCACTGTGGATATATAGTTATAAACTTATAATTTCTGGATATATAGTTATAAATTTCTGGATATTTAGTTCATTCATTGTGGATATTTAGTTCATTCATTGTAGATATTTACTTCATTCATTCACTGTGGATATTTAGTTCATTCATTGTGGATTTTTACTTCATTCATTCACTGTGGATATATAGTTATGAATTTGTGGATATATAGTTATGAATTTATGGATATATAGTTATGAATTTATGGATATAAAAAAAATGCTATTGCCGGAAATCGAACCTGATTTTTTCTTTAAGTGGAACTCGCGTTTTTTTTAACCAAAACGACGTCGTTTTGCATCGAATGCACCATGTGCATGGTGCATTCAGTTGCACAGCATAATTTGCGTAAATAAAGATCCCAAATAAATTGGGGATTGAGAAAAGCAAATTGATAATTTTGCTATAGTCAAGGGTCATTTCGGTAATTAGCTCTGTAATCAATTATCACTGTTAAGATGTAACAGTTTATAAATTTAGTTCATATGTTATATGATCTTTTTCTAAGACGATAAAGGTCATGTTTGGTACCTTAGTTAGCTTATTAGCTAATTTTGACTTATTTGGCTACTCTTAGTTGTATGACTTGGTTAAACAATCAATATGAG